ACTGAGGCTTATCCTTTCTGCTCTTCAGTGTCTTTTCAAGGCCACCTTGGTTTTGGAGTGGATGACTATGGCTGTTAAGAAACGTGACTTTTTTTTTTTTCTTTTAAATAGTAGGTTTCAGAAAAATCCCTGGATCTGATATCATGTCATGATTGGAATCTGAATGTAAACATAATGAAGAATTGTGGCTACCATTAGGTTAGCCTGTTTAGAATTTGTGTCTTGTCTCATAGTGCCATTTCTCATGTCTTGGATCTCTTTCCTACCTTTTCCTGGCTCCACATCATTTCCATGCATGTGATTCTTGACTTTTGACAAATATTCTCTGTAGGGTGATGATGGGATTCTCTAATTTTTCCCCCACTTCTTTTCACACTTAAATTTGTTCATTCTGATCTCTCAGGTATCTGAACCATCATTAACATAAAACTCAGATCAGTTGGCAGTTTTTTTCCCCTTGTCTGTTTGACAGTAAGATTTGTTGATTCACAAGAGGGGGAGTAGTCATGGGGGTGGGTATAATAGGGCTGAGATAGGCAGACAGCCAGACCAGTAAACAAAGAGCCACTTGGGAAAATTTTTGGATTGAAAGTATAGAAGGTCCCCAGCTTTAGTGGTCCAGTGATTGAACACCAAGCTCAAGGCAGTTGGCAGCATATGAAATTAGGCATATTTTGAAAGTATGCAGAGAAAATGGGTCAAGATTTTTGTTACTAGATTTAGAAAAGCATGCATGGGTATAAGAAACTTTTTTAAAGTGTAGTAATTATAGATAGTATAAGGGAAATAAAACATGGAGAAAGACTACTATTTATAGAAATATTTTAACTTTAAAAACCTCTAACTCTAGCAAAGCTTAAAACTGTAGGTTTTATGATTAATCATGTAAAATTTCTAATATACCTGTCAATAGCAGTGTCACTTTAAAAGCATTTGGGAAAATTAGGGTGTGAGTAATTTACATTTTAGCAGGTTAGATTTGTAAATTCTATCTTCTCCAGTTCTGGCAGTTGCCTTTCAAATAGAAGGATTAATTTACACTGGCCGGGACGCCTTGTATGACCATATTAGATGAAATTAGACTCCACCCCCTGTTTTCTGTTGATCTGCCAGGACCTTTGTAATTCAAGTGCTTTTTACAGTAGTAGCAAATGTTACATAAGCCCAAACATGGAGCATATTTGGAGTTGGTGGGCAGCCCCGAATCATGATGCAGATCTGCGGTAACGAGTGTGCAATGAGGCACAGCCCAGTTCTGTGAATGGAAGGTAACAGGACGCCTCCCCAGTGCAGCCCTTCCTCTGCGCAGGAGCTGAAAGCTCTGCTGGGTAAGTTTGCCGAGGCAGTTTTCTGAGGCTGGACTTGGCGCAGGGCCCAGTCCTGGAAGAGTGTGTGGAAGGTGGGTTAGGTCTTCACTAACACGACATAGGGCCACAGAGGGCCTCCTGGTGTGTCCTGCCCTGCCTGCAGGCCCCGAGGGCTGCACTGCTAAGTGGTGGCGGGAGGGAGTTCTGCAGAGCCCCGAGATCAGAGTGGGTAATCGCAGCAAGAGGGATTAGCTGCTGCAAGCTGTCCACAGGAGCCATTCTGAAATGTCATTTGAGCGATCTGGCCAAAGTTCAAACGCAGACAAAGTCGAGTTTGCTATTAACTCCAACAAAATGCTGAGGTTTGCACCCAACGGTTCCCGTATCTCAAAACAGGGAGAGCATTGGTTACAGTGCCCTCTTTAAAAAAAAAAAAAAAAAAAATGGAGGAACGTTGTAACACGCTTTAACGCGTTAACTGTTTTGTTTGTTTTTTTTTTTCCTTTTTCTAATCTTACTTGTGGTGAGTGAGGTTTCATGACAGGCAGTTCACAGTTTCCTGTAGAATGTGTTTGAAAGCTGTTTTGTCAGATACTTCAAATCCACAGCAAAGTTTCAAACAGAACACTGTGTCAAGAGGAAGAACAACTTCAAAATACAAACAGTCACCCTGGGAAGTCATTCAGTAACTTAAATTGAGTGTATAAAAATTTAATTATGCACTGACTGCCAGAAAAGACTTTTTTTCCGTTGTGGTGTTAAGGTAGCCAGCAAAGCTGAACTGGTTCTTCCCTACCTCTTGCCTGTCTTTACGCAGGAAGTGAGGGGACAACCGAGTTCTTGAATTTTCACTGGATTCAAATTTCATGGCTTCTGCAGTAATCAGCTGGACTGGGTGGTTTTAATTGAGGTTGAGACTTTATTCCCAGTTGTAGGATTGAAACTACAAATAGATCTTACACCTTCAGCCAGATTGCTATTGTTGATGATTTTTTCTAAAAACTCTTGTCAGGAAGTTTTGGTTTTGCTGTTTCTGGTTTCATTTTTGCATATCACTTCTGGTGTTTTATTTGTTCACAGCCCCAGCCTGAAGGTGGAGCAGATACTGTTTCTCTCTTCAGAAAAAGAAAAAGTAAACTGTGTTGCAAACTCATTGAAAACATAAGTGTAGTTAAGTAGCTAATAATGATTCATTCGTTCCTTACTGTGGTATGCTTAAGCATAAGTCTCTCGGGCTTTGTGAGCTTTCTGTGACTGCCGTGTTTGGGATCTTCCAGATCTTCCCTCCTTTCATCCAGAATAAGTTAAATGGAAAGGGTACAAACTAGGGGAGTCAGCCGTGGAGATGGTGACTGAGCACAGCACTTCAACAGACAGTGCTGTCTTTCCTTTGCACCTTGGAGTTGCTGCTCTTCCTTGATCTGGGAAGATGGGACTCCCTGTTGAGATTCCTACACAGAAGTTTATTTAACAAACAAACAAAACCAAGAAAACTCTAATTTTGAGTTTTATTAGATTTTTTTTATTCTGTTACTCCCTGCATGTGTAAAAGTTGGGAGTGGTAAAAGCAGTTTGTTTTTTAATTCTCTTTTTGCATTTTGATGATAGCTCTGTTATCATTCATTTGGGAAAAACTGTGACCCAGACCCAAAATGGGACCACAGAGATGCTTATGTAAGAATGGAATATGATTCATGCTTGAATTGCACATGGTATATAAGTGCTGTGCTCAGTCAATGTTGTGTTGTTGAAATTTTGAGGCACTTTTTCCTTTAAAAGATAAAGGACTAAATCAAGAGATCAAGCGTAGCCAAAGAGTGATGGATTTTTAGGGTTCTCCCCCGCACCTTCTTCACATGTGGTTCCTGAGGACTAGAAACATTGCAAGTGCATGGCCCTGTGGGAGGGAGAAAGAGAGAGGTGGCTCTTACAAATGACGTGCATCACCCGGTGAGGTCATGTTTGTTTCAGGCAGGGTGATTTGTTGCTGTTCTGTGTCATTGTCATTTGGGTAACACTGTGCTTCCTGAGGACAGCAGGGAGAAGTCCTCCTGGCTGTTAGCAAAGTACAAGTGTCAGCCAGCTTCTGCATGGCCTGGTGTCTGTACTCAGAATCTGTGACTCCAGGACCACAGAGGTGGCATGAGAAGTTGGGTGGCTGTGTTTTGTTCAGAGCAGTGGCAGCTCTCCCCCACCCCCAAAAGTGGGGGGGGGGGAGGGAAGGAGAGGGAGGGAGCACGAGCAGGGAGAGGATGCAGATGATAGCCCTTGTGCAGGTCTGCACCATGAGCAGGATTGCGGGAGTTTAGGAAGGGCGCCCTGCAGGAAACCAGCTGGCTACCAGACAGTCCAGTTTTCCTTGGGAAGAGCCATCTTCTGGCAGCAATTCTGCCGAAGAGGTGCTGCCCCGACAGCCAGAGTGGTCAACTGTTACAACCCTTCTTTGTCTCTGCCCTTCCATCCCTGTCAGAGAAGCCCTTGGATGCCTTTGAAAGGGCTTTTACAAATGCTTGCAAAGAGCTACAAGTTAGGCAGGCAGAGGAGGAATACCCCCCAGATATGCAGTAAGGTTTTTCATATTTCTCACATACTTGAAAGTGGAGTTCAGAAAGAACAAGTCCTCTTGGGAAGAATTCCTGGCAAGAAGATTATTTGAAGTTGCCATATTTCTGCTCCTTTCTTAGCAACATTATTTACAGTCTGTTCACGCCTGGCCCTTCCCCCACTGGAGTGGAGTCTTTCTCCCTTGTAATCTGCCCTTTGTGATCTGTCCCTTTCATGCATCCAGTGTGAATGGGTGTGCTGCAGTGCTGCCCAGCCCAGAGCCGGGAAATGCCAAGAGACCCCAATACTTCAGTGGGGCCTTTATTTCCGTCATAAAGCACTGACTTGAAGGGCTTGATAATTTGATTATAGACCTTTAGCGAAAAGTTGTTTCAAGTGGCCCAAGTGCTGTAAATGACTCTCTCCTGCACTTTCCTCTTACGTTTTAATTTAAAAGCACCTCTGCATCGGGGAAGGACAAGTGCATTTGGCAGAGGTAGCAGTGGGAGACTCATTTGTTAGGGCAGCCAGTGCTGAAATCGTCCTTTTCAGTGGAGCCTCTCTAGTGGAAGTGATGCCGAGTGCTTTGTGGCGAAGGCTCTTTTCTCAGTGCTTTCAGTGCCTTTCGTAACCCTCCTCAGCCAGTGGTGCTGCCTTCTGCTGGCCCCACTCTTGGCTAATTGTCCTTTGAGGCGCTGCATGGCAGAGGTCAGCTCTGGATTCCCCAACTCCAGATGTACATGTCCCTGGGACAGTCCTGCCCATGTGCTTCCTTTTCAGCAATTAGGCAATACCTGGCTGTCTCTAGAGTAGTCTAGTCAAGTGCCTGGAGAACCCAGAGGAAAGGGATCAAAGGAAAAGCAGATGTGGAGTTAAGAAGAGCCTCTGACAACCAAGAGTGCAGGAGGGCCGTGTTGCTGGTCTGGCACACTAGTGCTGCTGCTTGAGAGTCAGAACATGTGCAGGGAGAGCTGGCAGTGACCAAAGTAGCTAGAAGGTGTTCATTGCTTCATGTCCCTGTGTGGGCTCATGGTATGACTTTAAGTGTTATACCAAGGATCTTTTAATAGTTATTGGGAAGATACATATGTTATCTCCTTCATCGGGCCCAGAGTCAGTGTTTCACAGATATCATTGCTCAGACCAGTACTAAATTGGCGTCTACTCAGCCACTATATTTACTTAGCAAATTGGGTAAATAACAGTCCAGATTTTAAGTTGATATTGCTAAAAGCTCTGAATAATAATTCAGTTGTGAATGACAAAAGTTAGCACAAATTGATGTGTAAAAAGAAGTGCTGGAAATTATATAAATAGAAGAAGGGTCTTGATTTGTCATCTCTTCCAGGTCCTGATCTAGATGTTTCTAAGTAGTCATTCTCCCATGAGAGACACATGATGCTAATTGACACCTCACAAGTTTGGCAGCCTGAAACAGAAGCATAACAGTTGGGTTGATCGGGAGCTGTATGATAGCATATTGCAGTTATTTTTCATCTTGGACATAAACAGTTTGATTCCTTCACCTTAATGAATGATCCCAAGTTTCTGAACTGAGTTTTTGATAAGCACATTGTGACTTGGTAAGCCTGACCAAACAAACAATCTGTGCGTATTTACCTGTGTTTTGCATTTTATAGCCATGAAAGCTTGATTATCGAAAGTCTTTGCTTTACATTGGAGTGATTGTGGGGTGTTTTGGAAATGGGGCTGTCAGAGACTGCATGAAATTATACATTCTTTGAGGCATAAATTGTCAATTTTTCCTAAAGCCTTTCTGTATACAGAGTGCACACTGTTTAAACCTACCTGACTGAATCTATCCCAAGGTATGAATTTCATTCAAAGAAAATTGTGGGTTATAAGAATTGTTACTTTGATAATCTGCCTAAGATTTCTACCCTTGGATCCACAAACTGAATTGGAGACTTAATCCTTACCTTGTTGCATTCTAAACCTGCAGTCTGCCCATCCTTCCCTTCATACTAGGGCTTGAACCCTGGGGCTCTACCACCCAGCCCTTTTTTATTTTTATTTTGAGATGGTCCTCCTAAGTTATCCAGGCTGGCCTCAAAAATAAAATCCTCTTGCCTCACTTTTCCGAATAACTGGGATTACAGGCATGCGCCACCATGCTTTGACTGCCTGCGGTTCTTCCTGAATGTTTCCTGAGCTCTGTCAGGAAAATAATCTGACTTCCAACTTAAGTTAATTTAAGCTAAAATTAATTTTTTTTTTTTAAACAGCATTGGGGATTGAATCCCCGTGGGCACTCTACCACTGAGCTATATCCCTAGCCCCACTCCCTTTTATTTAAGGCGGAGTCTACCAAGTTGCTCTGACTGGCCTTGAACTTGTAACTTTTGATCCTCCCGCCTCAGGCTCCCAAGTCACTGGGATTAGAGGCGTGTACCACACACCTAGTTTGATTATCCTTAACAGATTCTAAAAGTTGTTCCCCTGAGCTCCGAGAAGAGCTTAGTATAGAGTTTCCAATTTGCAGTGATTCAGTTTAGGATTTTTCAGATTTACAGTGGTGTGAAGACAATGTATATTCAGTAAAACCACACTTCAGATTTTTAATTTTAATTTTTCCCCCCCTCTGGGCTGGAAATGTGTGATTTCATACTATCAGAGATGGTGGGCAGCACAGGATCCACAGTGTCTAATCAGTGGCTTGATGATCAAGGGAAAATGACCGCTCTCCTGTGGTGTTCTGTAGGTGCATTAATGTGGTTTTGACTTATGTTTTCAATTTATTGTGTGTAAATTATTGTGAAGTAATCCCATTGTAAGTCGAGGAACATCTGTATCTTTCTGGAGTGACATAAAAATATATAAACAAAACCCTTACCACACTGGAGAAGAGTGAACTTGGAATAGAGAGGGTTTGGTTTGCTCTGATGTGTGTCCTGCCTGCTTTAGTAATCAGGAGGAATGACAAGTATTTTTATGTCTAAAGGAATGGAGTGTAATTAGTATCAACTGGAGGAACTCTGGGCCTCTGTAGCAGTCCCTGCTGTGATCCCGGTACCTCCTCCCCAGTAGCCCTGTGAGGTAGGCTTGGCAGGTGTGGACACTGCCTGGAGTCAAGCGGCTGTTTGAGTCACCCAGGCAGAGCAGATATTTGGCTCACATGTCTCCACCTCCAAAGTTCTTGTCTTTTTCAGTGAGCTTAAATAATTTTTTAAAATTAACTATTTTTATTTTTCTTTGGATTCTACTCAGCTGTTTAGTAGCACAGCTCATCTCAAGACTATCCCCAACACACTGAGCTTCTTCTGGGAAGGCAACAGTGAACAGACTGGAAGTGTGCGTGATTATGTTGGTTGTGGCATCCTGCTTAACCCTGGAGAACAGGTATATGCTGTCCATGGTCCTTTGCAGAACATGCTCCTCTGAGAAGCACTGGGGGTTGAACCCCCGGGGCACTCTAAGTAAGATAATTCTTTTTGGCCCAGCCAAAAGGCAGCCCTAATTGTTATTTTCTATCAAAATTCATTCTTCAAACCATCTTGGCTACTTCAGAAACCAAAAAATGCTAAATTGGTGGACACTCATAGTTGATCTTTAGAATAGCGACTTCTTAAATGGAAAGATGAAATCCAGAACAATTTGGATTTCCCTCAGATTTTGGATCCCACCTCAATTATAGCAACAAATTGTCATCCATGAGCTTGTATGTTCAGCCTGTGTGGACTTCAGCAATTAACCTGCGTTTGCTGAGCACCTGGAAAGAAGAGCTTCCTACTGATCTGTGCCCCAGCTTTTACCTTTACTCTCCCTCTGTTGGCCCTGGACCATATATATGGCTTTCTAGTACCCAGCACCATCTAAGAACAGGCGGACCTACTGTGCTGGAGTTGGCCAGCCTTGGAAGAGCTCCCAGCTCTGCCTCTTATCTAGCTGGATGACACTGAGCCGTTGACTCAGTCCTTGAAAGCCTTAGCTTCCTCATCTGGAAAGTGGGAATGATAACAGTACCTACTTTGTTAGAAGGCTGGTCAGGGCTGAGTGAACTAATCCCTGGAAATCCCATCACAGGGCGCCTGGCACATCCTTTCTACTCGGTAAACAGTGGCAGCAGCTGCCACTTTTACTGTTGTTGAAGGTGAGATTTCTCATCAGTTTAGATTATAAAAGAACAGCAAAAGGTTTAATAAGATACAAGGAAAGCTCTCAGAGTAAAAAGAGTTCTGTGGGTTTTCTTATCCATTAGCCCTGCCGCGTGATGCCCACGAGATGGGATAGAGATAACATGCTCATGAATGATAGAGAAGTGTGTTCTGCAAAGGACCATGGACAGCATATACCTGTTCTCTAGGGTTAAGCAGGATGCCACAACTAACATAATCTTTCTCTTTCTCACTATCATGCATGTGCACGCTGTGTGTGTGTGTGTGTAGACTCTGTGGCAGGGGGCGGGAGGGTACTGGGAACTGAACCCAGGGCTTCGCACATGCTAGGCAAGAAGTGCACTAAGCCACATCCCCACAGCATCTTATTTTATATTTTGAGACAGGGTCTCAGTAAGTTGCCCAACCTGGCCTTGACCTCTGTGATCCTCTTGCCTCAGTTTCCCAAGTAGCTGTCATTATAGGTGTATGCCACCACACCCAGCAAAATTTCTCTTTTTGTAAAGTATGTATTTGATAATCGTGTCAGCTATGGCCATTTTAGAAATATCAAATAATACATGAAAGTTTTTTTTTTTTTTAAAAATAGACCTATAAGCCTGGGAAGTAGCCAGTTTTAAAAACGTTTGACACATATCTAGGTTTTTTCCTAAGCATGAATGATAAGTGTTTGAAGTTACAATTTGCTTTGACTCCTTTTTTAAGTTTGTGCCCTGGTTTTAACAGTTGTGCATTATGAATTATTTTTAGTTGTTTTCAAAGCAATATTTATGACATGAAAAGATCTAATTGTTTGCTTTGAACTTCATTTGGCTTATACCTACCTGGGTGTTAATACTAACGATTTAAAAAAAAAAAAAAAAAAAACTCAGCATGAATTCAGAGTAAGAAACTCGGTATTGTTGGTTGCTTTCCATTTTGGAAGACCTACAGAGCGCTCCCCTCCCTCCCCTCCCCTGCCCTTGCCTTCAGGCTCGCTGCTCTGTGTGTTCAGGCCACCAGGGGGCGCTGGCTCAGGCTTCCCGCCCCTTTCCCCCCTCCTCTCCTCTCCTTGCATCTCCCCACCCTGCCCCCCAGGTCTGCTTACCTCTGCGTGGCCCCCTCAAGCTGGCACGTGGCTCCCTCTGCCTGCGCCCGCCTGGCTATGGCCTGCCCGTCTGAGTCCCTTGCTGGAACGTTGGCAGCGCCCTCCCGACTCAGGACAGTGTGCTTCCTCTGGGCCACTGCCAGACCCAGAGAGAGGAGCGCTTTGACGGCACAGCCGGGACTGCTCGGCAAACCACACTGCAGCCATGCTCAGCATCTGGCCACCACTTTGTCCCCTGAATGTAGGGTCCCCAACCCTACCCGTAAGTCGCCTATTTCTCTTTTGAGCTCAGAATAAACTTTTTTAAAGCTGTAAGCCCAGTTTAAAATCTTAAGAAAAATAAGTATCCATACTGAAAGGATAAAGGGAGTCCAACTCAACCGTAATTAAATTTGGTTTTTCTCCTTTGCTCTCTTGTGAGGAGAAAGCCAGATGCTGTCCTTTTCAGAGCAATTTACCAGTTTGTGTTGTGAAGGAACAACTTAATTCAGTAGCATGACAAGGATTTGAGCCGGCACTTCTCAGCCGTAATCTCAGCTACACACACACACACACACACACACACACACACAGCCTGTTTAAGTTTTAGTGAATGAAATGTTCACATGATCTTGGTTTTTAAATAGCTTTCATTTTTGTTGAAGTAGGAATTACAGGGTTTTTTTTTTTTAATTGATACATCAACAGACTTTTAACATTAGGAAGCTTTGAGTCTGGATTTTCTAATGCTGAATCCCATACTAAGATTTAATAGGCAAGGAAAGAAGATGTGAACTAAAGAAAATGGAGGCAGGGAATAAGTTCATTGGATTAGACAAAGAGGAATGAAGGGAAGGGAGGGGCATGGGAATAGGACAGAAAATAGAATGAATGGAACAGAACTTTCCCATGTTCCTATGTGAACACATGACCAGTGAAACTCCATATCATGTCCAACCACAAGAATGGGAAGTTAGACTCCATGTATGTATATATATAATATGTCAGAATGCACTCTACTATCATGGAATCTAAAAAGAACAAATAAAAAAAAGTAATAGTATAAATAAAAGTTAAAATTTCTTTTAATAGCAAAATAGATAGATAGATAGATAGATAGATAGATAATGGGGAGTGTGGCCCCTGATGGGAATAGAAAATTGAAAGGACAAGCCTACAGTTGCAGTCAGTTCTGCTATAACACAACATGCATTCCTTAAAACTTACTGCACTGTGCAAAATTGTGCAATAAAAACCACATGAGTCTTATTGGGAAAAATGGGGTTATGGCACAACACTCAAAAACTTCATCAGTGACACATGCAGGAAAAAAAAAGAGGAACATAATGAAAATGGTAGCACAGTCTTACATATAGTAAATAGTCCAAAATACATGAATACTCGGATAAATGTGGCAGTGGATCTTGAAGAGCCTTGGCATTTGCCTGTGGAGTGGCCTGGGCAGGGTTGCCACTCCTGGTGGTAGAGGGAGGTTGTGTGAGACTGGACGGAGAGTTGGGACAGCAGCTGTTCATTGTGAACTGAGATCCATGGTGGGTGTTTGCCGTATGTGCACTGTGTGTCCTGTGTGGCTCCATCAGGCAGGTGTCGTTTCTGCATTGCCCAGTGTTTCTTGCAGACAAAAACAAATGCAAGATTTTGTGGTGGTCAGATTGTTCCTTAATATGTCAATGGCTTTGCCTTCTCAAAACAAGCATGATAGGCGAAGCTGTTTCAGAATTTTATTTAAATATATTTATATATTTTAAATATTTATTTTATAGTTGGACACAATACCTTTATTTCACTCATTTATTTTTTTTATGTGGTGCTGAGGATTGAACCCAGGGTCCCACGCGTGCAAGACGAGCACTCTACCACTGAGCCACAACCCCAGCCCCTCAAGAATATATTAGTACTGCGCTTAAGAGGCTGAGGCAGGAGGATTGAAAATTCAAAGCCAGCCTCTTAGCAACTTAGTGAGGCCCTCAGCAACTCAGTGAGAGACCCTGTTTCTAAATACAATATAAGATAGGGCTGAGATTGTGGCTCAGTGGTTAAGCGTGCCTGAGTTCAATCCCCAGTGCCTCCCCGCCAAAAATATTAATATACCTAACCTTCTGAGCATCTTAATTAGCCACACAGCACAGGGTTCCTTCCTGTCATGATCAGGCTCATGGGGAGCTGTGGCTTTCTGGAACTGCCCAATGTCATCCTGACTGTATTGTATATCATGAGCCTAAGAAAAGGTGACAGTTCACAATTACAAGTTTTCCTGAATGTATATCACTTTTGCACAACCATAGAGTTGAAATATTATAAAATCAAACCATCACAAATTAAGGACTGTGTGCCCACTTGCCCTTAGGCACCTGAGATCTCTGATACCCACAGAATAAAACTTCTAAGCCCAGCATTCTAGCTTACAGGGGGTGGGAGGTATCCCCCTCTTTATGCCACAGACAGTATTGTCCAAGGGAACAGTACTCAGGTTGCTTTTTGTGGCTTACCATGGGTAAATATTTAAATTTTAATATTTATTTTAGTGTTTATCAGAAAAACATAGCAAGCTTGTTAAGCCTGTCGTTTCTTGGAGATCTTGCTTTGAGGAACAGCTCTCAGCTGAAGGTGGTGGTGCTCTGCTTTACTCTGGAGCCCATCTGGAATGATAGGAGTTGGGTTCAAGTGGTCTGGGGCAGAGGGGCACTAACTGGTGACCAGATGGTGGGGCCAGGACTGTGAACCATTCTGAAGTCCTGTATGTAGAGCTGTCTGGTCCAAGACACCAAGAATGCCTCTATTAGAGACAGAATTAGACCACAGAAGAGGGAAGTATAGCATTGAAAATAAATCTGTTGAGTAAAACAAATAGTATTTTATATGCCTTTGTTGAGGGTAGGAGAACGGTTTGCAGGGGATGGTAGTGTGGAAAGCACTCATTAAGGACACATGGTGGCAGCCCTCTATGTAGTGCCATGTGCTAGGGGTTCCACCAGCCGTGGTCAATGGTTCTCAAGACATCAGCCTCATCCAGGTGAGTCTTCCAACCTTGGCTGCACAGTAGAGTCACCAGGGGAAGCTTGTCCAGGTCCAGATGCCCAGGCCACATCCCAAACCAATTAAGTCACAATCCTCAAGGGAGGGTTGCAGGTGAGCTCCTGGGGTCATTCCAGGGTGAGAACCACTGTCAGGGCCATTTGGAAATCACTTCTTTGCACAAGGAAAGCTGTACCAGTCTTACAGCTCAGTCTGTCCTGGGCAGGGGCAGGTGGCAAAGCTATAAGCACGTGTTTACAATCGAGGCAGACAAATGCTGAAGCGTGGAAGTAGATTCCGTGCATTTTGGAATCACAGAAAAAAGAAAGACTAGATTTAAAACAGACAAAGAGAAACACACCTCAGATGCCAAATTTGGAAAAGTAATTCCCCACAATCGCTTTAGTTTTTCCTTCCTTATACTCCTTCACCTGGTCGGCACAGCAAGAGGCCTTTATGCATCACTATCAACTTACCCTTTGTAACTAGAGGATAGCCTTTCCGTGGTGGAGTGGGCTAATTTGAATTTGTCTGTAGATAGTATCTGTCTGTCCTGGTGAGGAGCAGGCACTAGAAACCTCATAAAGCATTGTTAAACTGTCCTAATAAGAGTAAGACTCACTGAGAGGTTCTGGGCTACTAAAAGATGGGCTTTGGAAACAAGCCATTTAAATGCTGCTTGGAGTCATTGATTCTAACGTGCTCCATGTTTCAGGTACTCATAGAACAGAACTCCCTTTGCCATAAGTCAGTGTTGGGTCACAGACATTTGAAAGCTGGAGTTAAGCAAGTGTGTGATTTTAATTTACGAGTTTAATCTAAGGCTTCCACCAAGCAGCCGTTGCAGGGGTCTCAAGTAGATGAATTTACCAAATAATTAATACGTTTTCAATAGTAATATTTTTCAACATCTCTTGATTTATATTAAATTGCCATACTCAGAAAACAATTGATTCTCCCGTGGGTACATTTATTCTCAGTTAAACTTTTGTAGTCTGTTCTCAACCATGAATTACTTCCTGGTTTAAAAAAACATGCCTAGCTATTTATGGTATTTTGTCTTGCGCCTTTGGCACCCTGGTGGTGTGAGCCGGGGCTGTGCCATCTGTAGTCAAGTGAGATTATTTAAAGGGGGTGGGGGGGGGGCAGTGAAATGATTCACTGGAAAATTTTAGCACAGATTCTTAAGGAACGATAAGATAACCCTAGAAACATCTTTATTTCGTGCTTATTTGGTGTCATATGCTGGTGGGTAGTGACGGGGAGAAAAAAGGTACAACTTGTTTCTGAAGATCCTGCTATTTTGAAAATCAGAGAGGGGCTGAGCTAGAAAGGAGGAGAGGATGTCCACGCAGTGTCACTTCCAGAGCTCTGCAGATGAGGGAAGAGTCTTCCTCTTCCTGAATCCAGGTTAGAGGTTCATTTCCAGCAGAGAAAACCCAAAAGGCAGTATGCTGGTGTTCAGAATGGGTGTTTAATTCCTGATGGGTATCTGTGATAAACCTCGTTATGTCGAGGTGCTTTGGAAACAGGAGGGCTGGTTCCTAGAACGCTCAGTAAGTGTGGGGCCTAGATAAGCCCTTTCTGAAAGTGACTGCGTTTAGTGTGTTTTGACTCCATGATAACATGTTTTAACCTAAACATGTTGATTTCAGGGAACTCTTCCCGTTCCATGTGAGATTTGCCTGAAACATCGTATCTTTTTTTTTTTTCTTTCTTCCTGTTTTCCTTTCCAGAAAGAAGACATAGCTCATCTAGCAAGCCTTCTATGGCCGTTCCTCCCACTTCAGTATTTTCCTTCTTCCCTTCTCTGTCCAAAAGCAAAGGAGGCAGTGCAAGTGGAAGCAGCCGTTCTTCCAGCGGAGGGGTTCTTAGCGCGTCCTCCTCAAGTTCCAAGTCGTTGAAATCGCCCAAAGAGAAACTGCAACCCAGGGGGAACACCAGGCCAATACATCCCCTCCAGCAAAGTAGAGTCCCCCACAGTAGAATGTGAGTATGGCCCTGAGGGTTTCCAGCGCCGGTCCTGCTACAGTGTGCCTGTGTACAGTGGTGGGAGAGTCCGGGAGCCATGGGAACAGACCCACGCAGGGGGCTTTCAAGTGTGTGTGGCTGGCTCTTTTGTTCCCCACTGAGCCTCAGGAGACTTTCAGAGCAGTGGTAGCAGTGATAATAATGGTGCTTGTTGATCCCAACGTCTTAGTGGGATAGTTCCCACTAG